GGAGCTTATAAATCTAATGTTAATTAAAATGTTAAATAATATTTCCATCGAATTTGTTTAATACAGGTTTTCCCGGCCAATTTCCTGAAATGTTCAATCACTTCTGAAAATCGGTCAATCATTTTCGTCTGAAATTGAGAATCGCTCTGAACACGCGTTTCATTTTCGCTACCATTACAGAACTGAGCCCAATCTAATGCATTTTCTCAAACCTCAGTTTCTGAGGTTCAAGCCTAATGAAGCATGCAGACCCTGCAGCGGATTACCTGATGTTTTAGCATGTTTAGACTGATAAGAGCCTACTTTTTGTCGTATGGCACGAACTACATGTTATCAAATAAAAGGAGTTCCAAGATGGCAGCTCGCTATGAACGAATCTTACTCTATCAGTGTCTATGGTTTACGGTGAGTCCGTTCCAGTTATTTCCCTAACATATTACATGGTGGCAGCGGTGGGTTTCTAATATACCCGCGGACATTTAGGGCATAGTATTCTAACGTCACTTGACTTTTTGGACACGTAACAAGGGCATTTTTACGTCGGAAATTCACCGCACGAGTGACGGTTCAGAACAATGGCACAAACTCCACAACAGGGGGCGCACTCTCGCGCACCGCTGATCGGTCGCCTCGACAAATATGATGAGGTGGAAGATATCCGTAACTATGTTGAGCGGCTGAACTTGTATTTTCAAGCAAATGACATTGCTCAGGAGAAAAAGACAGCTGTTCTGTTAAGTGCAGTCGGTCCAACCGTGTATAAAACTGCTAAAAGTCTTGCAGAGCCTACCCCAGTAACTGAGAAAACATACACAGAACTGTGTGAGTTGTTGATCGCCCACTATGGACCCAAACGCCTGGTTGTGTCAGAGCGTTTTCGCTTCTACAAAAGGCATCAACAGCCATCAGAGACCATTGCACAGTATGCCATGACACTTCAAAACTTGGCCAGTACATGTAAATTTGGCCAGTTTCTCGACGACGCATTGCGAGACAGGCTTGTGTGTGGTCTGACCAGCAACAATATCCAGAAACATCTTCTCACCAAAGATGGTCTCACCTTCAAAGCAGCCGTGGACTTGGCCAAAACCCTTGAAACAGCTGTCAAGGACTTGCGTGAATTTAAGAACAGCCCTAATGCAGACACAGTATCAGTTCACGCACTACACCGAAACGCCAAGCAACCGTACAAGCAACCGTACAAGCCATCGTTCAAACAGCCACCCCCACAGACACGTGCCAAACCTCAACAAGGCGGGAAGAGCTGCAGTAGATGCGGCAGAGATCCAAGCCACCAATCCTGTCCAGCAAGTGGACAAAAGTGTAACTACTGCCAGAAACTTGGTCACTTCTCGGTAGTGTGTCGCGCTAAACCGAAGAAGTTGCATACAGTACAGCACGATCCAACTGACAGCGATGATGGGGACACTGAAACTAATGATTTCTTCGTTGGAACGGTGCATCACACCAGCCATGACATACTAAATGGTGATGTGTGGAGACAACCTATCAAAGTGCAGGGACAGATGGTGCAGTTCCTGCTAGATACAGGTTCGGAAGTCAACATCCTACCCGCTAACGTGTACAAATCACTGAAACTCAGTGATAAGACATTGCAGCCAACGACACTTCGCTTGCATGGCTACTTTGGTGGCAAGGCCAAACCTCTTGGACAAAAGAAACTGTCATGTGAAATGAAGAATCGTCAGTACTCGTTGGTGTTCCAGATTCTTGCCAGTGGTCAGCCTGTCATTGGCAAGACAGCATGTGAAGCACTTGGTCTGATACAGCGGGTGTACACCATGGTGAACCGAGACAACGTGTTTGAAGGCACGGGTTGTCTTGAAGGCCCACCGGTTAACATAAAGTTAACCGACTCCGCTACTCCATACTGTGTGACCGCTCCTCGCAGAATCCCCTTGCCCCTACTTCCCCAGTTGAAGCAAGAACTGGAAAAGATGGAAACCCAAGGTATCGTGAAGCGCATCACTGAGCCGACAGAGTGGTGTGCTCCAATCGTGATTGTACCCAAGAAGAACAACCAGATTCGACTCTGTGTAGATCTGCGACAACTGAATAAAGCTGTGCAGAGGGAGCGTTTCACTATCCCCAGCCTGGAAGAGGTTTTGGGAAAGATTGTTGGTGCACAAGTGTTCTCCTTACTCGATGCAAAGCACGGGTTTTGGCAGATACCCCTTGCTAGTGACAGTCAGAAATTGACAACCTTCATAACTCCATTTGGGCGTTTCTGTTTTACGCGACTCCCTTTCGGCATCACATCAGCGCCTGAGTTGTATCAGCGTATTATGTGTGACCTACTCGTCAATCTGGATGGGGTAGTTGTCTACATGGATGATATTCTCATCACCGGCCGAACACAGGCAGAGCACGATCAACGTGTGCATCGTGTAGTCCAAATCCTACAGAAAGCTGGCTTGCGGCTAAACAAAGAGAAATCAAAGTTTTCTCAAGAGACGGTTACCTTTCTGGGTCTACAGCTAGACAAGGATGGTATACATGCTGATCCTTCGAAGATCACAGCAATCGTTCAGATGCCCCCACCAACATCAAAGGATGAAGTCAAGAGGCTCATGGGCATGGTCAATTGGTTGTCCCGCTTCATCCCGAACGCAGCATCAGTTGCAGCCCCAATCACTGATCTCCTGAAAGACAACGTTGACTGGATGTGGGGAGCACAACAGAAGATTGCATTCCGACACCTCAAGACACTCCTCACCAGATCACCCACATTGGCCTTCTATGACCCCGCTAAACCTACCATGGTCAGCGCAGATGCCAGTAGCTATGGGCTGGGAGGATGCTTACTACAGCAGCACGAAGATGAGACATGGAAGCCAGTCGCTTACTGTTCCCGTACCCTGACTCCTGCTGAGAGAAAGTATGCCCAAATCGAGAAAGAGTTGTTGGCCAGCGTATGGGCATGCGAGAGATTTTATGTCTACATCAGAGGACTTCACGTGACCCTACAAACCGACCACAAACCACTGGTGTCTTTGATCAATTCAAAGGACCTCTGTGACGCACCACTGAGATGCCAGCGCTTACTGATGCGCCTCATGAAATTCCACTGTACAGCTGTCTACTCACCAGGCAAGACCCTAGTCGTTGCAGATACCCTGTCTAGAGCTCCAGTTCATACAGACCAGACAGCTGATGACAGTGATGATCTCGCAGCAGAAATTGCAGCACACGTGAGCATGGTAACAAGCCAGTGGCCAGCCTCGGATGCCAAACTTGCAGAAATCACAGATGAGACAGTGCAAGACAACGTATTGTCCCTAGTATCGTCGTACGTGAAAGACGGCTGGCCGAAGTACATCAAGGACGTAGATCCTGATGTCAAGCGATACTGGGAGGAACAAGATAAGATAAGCCAGATCAACGGCATACTGACATATGGGGACCGCATCATCATCCCACAGAAGATGCAGCAGGAAATGCTGGAGAAACTCCATGAGGGTCACCATGGGGTCACCAAGAGCCGACTCCGTGCAAATCAAGCCATATGGTGGCCTGGAATCGGTACTGACATCGCGCAGCACATTCAACAATGCGAGTTTTGCAGAGAAAAGCAACCAGCACAGAAGGCGGAACCCCTGATGTCAACACCTTTACCCCAACGAGCATGGCAACGAATCGCGTGCGATCTTGCAGAGCTGAAAGGGAAGGTGTACTTAGTGATCGTTGACTACTACTCGAGGTGGATCGAGATTCATCACCTTGTGAAGACAACAGCCTTAGCAGTCATCAACTTCATGAAAACTACCTTTGCACGATATGGGATCCCTGAAGTTGTCGTATCAGATAACGGCCCACAATTCCTGGGAGAGTTTCAACAGTTTGCTAGAGAGTTTGGCTTCAACCACATTACCACCAGTCCACACTATCCCCAAGCAAATGGGCAGGCCGAAAAAGCTGTCCATGTGGCCAAGAGTATCCTGCGTCAACCAGATCCCATACGAGCTCTCATGACATACCGCGCGACCCCACTTCCAAGTCTTGGTGTCAGTCCGGCAAGTCTGATGATGGGCCGAGAGTTACGCACTACCCTACCAATGTTGCCCAAGAATCTCCTTCAGAAACCAATCAACCAGACAAAGTTGAAACAAGCAGACGCTGCATCCAAGTCCAAGGGAGAAGTCTACTTCAACCAGAAACATGGCGCCAAGGCATTGGATCAACTGGAAACAGGAGCCCGGGTGAAGATCAGAACAAAGGGCAAACTTGGTCCAATCGGAGAGGTCCTCTGTAAAGCAGACACACCCCGTTCTTACATCGTGAGAGTGAATGGCGCAGAATATCGTCGGAACAGGCGGCATATTGTCCGGATGCCACAACCACCACCTGAGCCAGACTTCGAGATCCAACTGGAGGATCCAGTCCAACAAAACCCAGATGCTCAGCAACAGGGAGTGAGACAGTCTCAGCGAATGAGGAAACCACCAGCATGGCAGCAGGATTACGTCATGTACTAGAACACTGAACTGTCCTCACTCCATCACTCAATCACTCCATCACTCAATCACTCATTACTCGGTTAAAATCAATCAATCTTGCATTATCTCGCACTCATCTCTGAATTACAAATTCATTCTGATTTAATTCAAGAACTCTAGAAATCTGCTTGAACCAAGAACATTGGACTCTAGGAGCTGATTTGGAACACTCAACATTTTGCAGACACTTTCTAACATTGAACACCCAGACTCAATCATGTGCATTGTAAATGTGTTTTCTTAACCAGTTTATTTTGTTCTAGAAAAGGGGGAGATGTCGTATGGCACGAACTACATGTTATCAAATAAAAGGAGTTCCAAGATGGCAGCTCGCTATGAACGAATCTTACTCTATCAGTGTCTATGGTTTACGGTGAGTCCGTTCCAGTTATTTCCCTAACATATTACACTTTTGGTCAGTTGTAACTGATCCACTAGCTAAGAGCAGTGACTTGCAGGCCGTGGTCAGTATAGGCGTTACCCATGCCAGTGTGTGACCATCCATATGATGCTATTATCATGGAGCTAGATTGTAGGATAGCATGTACATTGTGTATGTACAATGTAGCTGTGTGATTCAGGTGGCTGATTCAAGCATAGAGCAAGGAACAATTTTACTTGGAGCATTCTTGGATGCTTGGAGCAAGGATAGCGATCATGGTTAGCATTGGTTAGGACAATATAATCAAGATCGAGACGACTTTGACGTGAAATTATATGAACCTTGGGATTACTTTTCGCGTAGGCTTGTCTGAACACTTTATAATTGGCCAACCAAATGCTATTAATGGGTGAGTAAAACAAAAGGCGGAGGCAAACCCCCCAAAATAAATTTCATATTTAAAACAATATGTAGTACCAAAATAATAATGACTGGAAAGCCAATTTCATAAGCTATTGTTAGATGAAAAAATACTGAATTTGCTCAATCCGTTCAGAGAATATCAACATTTTAACGCAATGACCCTAAAACCTGTTTCATCACACACACAAAAAGACAATTTATTGTGTATTCTGACTGTTTGGAACAACAAAGAAATTGACTCAGAATACTTGTTCCAACAACTGCCAACAACTGTAGTATACAATGTCTTTATTTACAATCCTGGTTAGGCAAACAATACGATTCATAAAATCTTTTTTTCTTGTTTTTAAGATGGGTCTTTAAAGGATTTTGTTTCTGAATATGTTTAACTTTTAAATTGGGGGGGGGGGGTCAAAATGAGCTTTATATTGTCAACAGAAATGTGCACCCTTATTGGGAATGCGAATCAATATAGGCCCCCTAACTTTAAAAATCCGCCCCCAATTTTTGGAGGGCGAATCAAAGTAATTACTCCTCAGTTTAATTGTCATCAGAAATCCGCCACCTTAACTGGGACGGTGAGTTTAACCTCTAAGTTGTCCACAGAAATCCGCACCTTATTATTGAGAGGGTGAATCAAAGAGTGCTCTAAATTGGCAACAGAAATCGACCCTAATATTAAGAGGGCGAATCAAAGTCAGCTCTCAACGTTAAATTGAAATCCGTCCCTTTGTTGAGAGGGCGAATCAAAGTAATTAAGCTCTAAATTGTCAACATTTTAAATCCGCCCCTTATGAAGAGCGCCGATTAAAATAAGCTTTAAATTGTCAACAGAATTTCTCCCCTTATAGTGGGAAGGTGAATCAAAGCATTGAGCTATGATCAAAGTAAGCTCTAATTTATTTTTCAAAAGAAATCCGATGACTGAATCACTCTGGAAATATGCAACACTTCACAGGGCCTATGTTCAAATAAAATCTGGACAAATATCCAATAGTTTGGTGATATGTCATCCTTTTTACAGAGTGTTTTGAATATTCAGAAGTAGGTGTACTCAAAACAATTTTTGTACTCATTTTGTACTCAAGTAATCGCCACTCAATTCAGTCAACGAAAAACTAACAACCCATACAAGTCAGTTCATTATCTCTTGGTTGGTTGATTGAACATTCATACAATTTCTTTTCCGCAGTACAAAACAATAGTCTTCGCAACAACAAAAAAAACGATTAAAAAGCACTGTAATGTCAGCCTAATAGTACTCAAACATATAATTATACAAATTGCATCTATGACTTAGAGAAGTTTATACCCAATATGAGATTTATGTGTTTATTAGTCATCAGTTCGGGGTTTTCTTAAAACGTCAAAAGTTATTTCGCCTTGCAGTCGCACGTTTGTGGTTTTAACTTTTCGTTAAGTACACACGATGAAGCTGTTTTCGAATAACAAATAATTTATGTATTTAAGCTCAATTTTGTGGAACAGTAATATGAAGGAAGGTGTTTTTCTCCTACTTATTTTCTGTTTCTTTGACAGCTTCTGAAAATATGTAACAAAATGGCACTTGGGCCACTAGGCCGACTTCCATAAAAAAAACCTCTGGCCAATGGTTTTTACTGACCATGTTGTTTTCCATAATCTTCCGTATGGGCATAGCCTAATGCTTCTTCTGGAAGCATGGTCTAAGTTTCTGAATAATAACAGTCAAGTTTCAAGCCCCCGGGAACGGGGGTGCTGTGGATGCTGCAGCACCCCCAACTTTTTAGATTGGGGTGCTGGAATATGCTTCAGCACCCCCTTCTCCTAGGCAAAAATGTGTTCCAGCCAGCAGTGTTCTACGCGACGATGAAATTGCGCCGCTACGCTATACATTATGCTTGCTCTACAAATATCTCCTTCGTTTTGTTCGTTTCTAGTTTTGCCGCGGCTAAGCGCGGCGCTTCGAAAGTCTAGCTCAACACTGTAAAATATCAAGAGGAGGTATTTTCTAAATCTTCAGGCAGTGCAGAATCGATATTTCTTCTCAAGGTATCCAAAATTATGACATATCTATGATATTTCCGCCATGATGGAAGCTTTGACCCAGAAGCAATAACCTCGGCCATGACGATGGTGGCAAAGTTGTTTATGCTTGCCAGGATTTTTTTCATTCGATCTTTTAATAGGGGCAAATGTTTATACCTTGCCCCTGAAGGTTTTTCTTTTCATTTAAAAGTTTCATTGACGTTGCTAGCATTTTGTACTCAAGATTAACAAATAGCAAGGTTCACCGTGACACAACCCCAACCTAAAAGGAGTGGGACGGGCTTTTATTGAAACTATAGTCATGCTACAATTCCAGTGTAGTTTCGTTATAATAAAAAAGCTATTCATGTTTTACCTCTGCAAGTTTTTTTCTCATAAAATCTCAGTAGACCGATAAATCCCTGCCATAAAAAAGCTATTCATCATCCTCTGCAACTTTTTCCTCATAAAATCTCAGTAGACCGATAAATCCTTGCCTAGCCCCAAACTTGCTATCTACCGAGCATAAACATAAAGATGCATTCGGTCTTTTAGTCTTTTATATTTGCCATTCTCTGTAACAAACAAATAACAATGCATACATCGAGAGCTACATTGTTTGGTGAGATAGAACTAAAGCGGCCCCTGGCCCTGTGGCCCCACGCCGTATAAAACAAAACATACACGAAGGAATTTACTAAATGTAAGAAAGCAGCCTTGCAACAATAATATTTACATGCGATGTCATGCATAACGATACAATGCAACAGTATATTCTAAACAAAATAATGAATAAATTGTCTTCATAATCTCAAAAAACTTTTGCTAACAAAGTCAAATGAAAGTGGACAGGAATCGCCCCCAGATTGCACGACAGAGCATATATATTCCAAATTATGCCACGACGTAAGGGCTTTGCGCTCCGCTTTCGCATTAATTTTATCCGTCCTTTATTCCAGCACCCCATGGCAAAAGTTTGTTCCAGCGGCAGTGCAAGTTTGTCACAAGTTTAATCATGCGGGGTCTGAACTGATTGCTTGATGTATCATGCTTTACCTAGATTGGGTATACTAGACCCATGTGTGTACCGTGCTTTTTCATTTTTGTACAGTATTTGTATTTCACACTTTTAATGTTCATTGGCATATCAGTACCTCAATAAATCACATTATAGGAAGTTGTCAATAAATGCATTGAGTGTGTGATTCAGTGCAAAATACAAGAGCATCTACGACAGCAGCTGAAATGAACTTTTCGTGTCATTATTTTTTAATGTTTCTTATAAATTTTGTTGTATCCATTTGTTTTAAGGAAATTGTATACCTAACGTGACAATGATACATCAAATCCCAGTCGTCAGTTGTGTACGAAGTATATAACGCAGAGCTAGCATGCTGTTGAACCTTCAAGTTGAGATGAACATCTTAATAATTGCTTCACACGGGCATAATGCTGACCACGGGGGTGTAAAGGGTCTGTGTGCGGCGTATTGTGTTGCGTAACTAATAATAACCACTCCTGAAGTGGCAATAATGTCGGTTAGTCCTGGGCTCCACCCAGTGTAACGGATACCTACTTAATCTCAGATAAGAGCGCAGAGGCGCTAATTACCCCCAAAATGCATTAGCTAGATTGGGCTCGGTTCTGTAATGACCTCAATTTCGTCTTGAAAATTCATGATCCTGCTTACATCATTTTCAATTTCGTCTTTGGTCGCTCATTTTCGCCATACTTTTTTCGTGAAAGACAATTCAATTTCGTTGTCTGCAATTGCTGAACGTGCGATAGATGAATCGATTCCGTCATTTTGCAATCAATGTTATATTAATTTCATTCAAATTCATCTCATAATTGTAGGCCATCTTCCGTATTTTTACGTTTTCATCTGTTCATTTCTACATATTTACTTTTTTTGTGTCTGTTAGTCTCCGTGTAACGTTGGTCTTTAAACCTTAAATAAGCATTTTTCATGTAACAATTACTATGCAAAATTGTAATCTTTTTCAATATTTATTTAGTTCGTTGACAATTTTATGCGTCAACAACTGAAAGAAATAGGGTATACACAGGCAAATGAAATTGCGTATATTTTCCATTTCACGCAAGAAATAAGTAGGCCTATAATTAGTTATTATGAAAAGCAAACTGCATTCATATTTTCACATCTTCGAAAACAGTCATTCAGTTCTTCTTCTTGTTCTTTGGATTGGTTGTTAAGGATCGAGGGCTACATTGTTTGGTGAGATAGAACTAAAGCAGCCCCTGGCCCTGTGGCCCCACGCCGTAATAAAACAAAACATACACGAAGGAATGTACTAAATGTAAGAAAGCAGCCTTGCAACAATAATATTTACATGCGATGTCTTGCATAACGATACAATTCTTTTTCCAGAATGAAATGGAACCAATAATGGAGATAAAAATACAGCGTTCTCCACTTTTCAGTACAGTTAAACGTTTTAAGAGCAACAGTATATTCTAAACAAAATAATGAATTAAATTGTCTTCATAATCTCAAAAAAACGTTTGCTAGCAAAGTCAAATGAAAGTGGCCAGGAATCACCCCCAGATTGCACCACAGAGCATCTATATTCCAAATTAAGCCACGACGTAAGGGCTTTGCGCTCCGCTTTCGCATTAATTTTGTCCGTCCTTTATTCCAGCACCCCATGGCAAAAGTTTGTTCCAGCGGCAGTGCAAGTTTGTCACAAGTTTAATCATGTGGGGTCTGAACTGATTGCTTGATGTATCATGCTTTACCTAGATTGGGTATACTAGACCCATGTGTGTACCGTGCTTTTTCATTTTTGTACAGTATTTGTATTTCACACTTTTAATGTTCATTGGCATATCAGTACCTCAATAAATCACATTCATAAATACCTCAGACAGTTTAGCTATTCCTATTGGTCGAGAGTCCGTCACGTGGCCGGTCTTAAACGGATGATAAAGGTTAAAGACATGGCAAGCTGGTCTTAAACACTTTTCCAGTGTCACAATAAAATGTGGACTCCTAAAAATCCAGTGCCTCTTACCGTTTCATTGGTTGAACGTTCACAATCCTCACGTAGGCATGCGCAACACTACAAGCGAGTCAGAATTTTATAGTTCTAAATTCAAAACGCAACGCCCCAGGTGCGTTCTGCGTGACATCGCGCAGAACATGTTACGCGCGCGTCAATCTCCATAAAAGGGTTGTTTACATCTTACTCGCCAGCTGAACACTCCATTATTTTGCTAGAGGGATGTTTCAAAAAGCATGAAGTGAACTTGTTGAACAAAATCGGGATTTTTTGAACGAATTATTAGATTTTTTTTTTACGGATAAGGTATTTATGAATGGGAATAAATATGTGCTCGGTCGGTATTTATCACTCTGTTTAATACCGCTTCATTACCCTCGCCTCCGGCTCGGGTAATTATCAGCACCCAGACTCTAGTGATAAAAACCTCCGGAGCACACATTTATTCCCTTATTATAGGAAGTTGTCAATAAATGCATTGAGTGTGTGATTCAGTGCAAAATACAAGAGAATCTACGACATCAGCTGAAATGAACTTTTCGTGTAATTATTTTTTAATGTTTCTTATCAATTTTGTTGTATCCATTTGTTTTAAGGAAATTGTATACCTAACGTGACAATGATACATCAAATCCCAGTCGTCAGTTGTGTACGAAGTATATAACGCAGAGCTAGCATGCTGTTGAACCTTCAAGTTGAGATGAACATCTTAATAATTGCTTCACACGGGCATAATGCTGACCACGGGGGTGTAAAGGGTTTGTGTGCGGCGTATTGTGTGTTGCGTAACTAATAATAACCACTCCTGAAGTGGCAATAATGTCGGTTAGTCCTGGGCTCCACTCAGTGTAACGGATACCTACTTAATCTCAGATAAGAGCGCAGAGGCGCTAATTACCCCCAAAATGCATTAGTTAGATTGGGCTCGGTTCTGTAATGACCTCAATTTCGTCTTGAAAATTCATGATCCTGCATACATCATTTTCAATTTCGTCTTTGGTCGCTCATTTTCGCCATACTTTTTCGTGAAAGACAATTCAATTTCGTCGTCTGCAATTATTGCTGAACGTGCAATAGATGAATCGATTCCGTCATTTTGCAATCAATGTTATATTAATTTCATTCAAATTCATCTCATAATTGTGGCCATCTTCCGTATTTTTACGTTTTCATCTGTTCATTTCTACATATTTACTTTTTTGTGTCTGTTAGTCTCCGTGTAACGTAGGTCTTTAAACCTTAAATAAGCATTTTTCATGTAACAATTACTATGCAAAATTGTAATCTTTTTCAATATTTATTTAGTTCGTTGACAATTTTATGCGTCAACAACTGAAAGAAATAGGGTATACACAGGCAAATGAAATTGCGTATTTTCCATTTCAAGCAAGAAATAAGTAGGCCTATAATTATTTATTATGAAAAGCAAACTAAGTTTCAAAATTAAGTTTCAAAATGTGCAGGAAAAACTATGTATAAAGCAATGTACATAATCGGGGTTACAATGAGACATTTGTATATGTGAGATATTAGTTGCTAGTTTTTGGCAATTAACGTAGATCAAGTAGGGGATACTTTTTTTATATTATATCTTTGAAGGTACTGCCATAGGTATATCTAATGTCGTTGCAAAGGAGGCTGTCGGACGCTGTTTTACCAAGAACTACGCCACAGCCAATGGCATCGCACAGACCGGCTCCTCCGTGGGACTGATCGTCTTCGCGCCCCTGGTCCAGCTTTTCTTAGACACCTACGGCTGGAGAGGAACCATGTTACTAGTGGGAGCCATCACCATGCATTCTGTTGCGAGTGGCGCCGTTATGGTAGCAACGAGGCAGCCTGAGCTCGATCAGTCAAACGCATACCAAACGCTCCCCCAGACCGAACACACTAATTCGTCATCAGCACATGAGAGCACTCTCCGTTCTCACTGTGGTTCGCTGTGGAAGTTCGTCTCTAAGAACTTCGAGGTGGGACTACTTCTCAATTCGCGCTACTGGTTGGTGGCCGTCATATCTTGCTGCAATATCTACGCGTACCTCATGTGGATTGTGTATTTCGTGTCCCAGGCGCAGTCCAACGGGTTCACTTTGGAGGAGGCGGGGTCTTTCGTGACCATCGCGGGCGTTGCGAACCTGTTTGGTACAATCAGTCAGGGACCGATCACCGACCGCGGAGTGATGTCCTCGTGGACTCTGGTTGCCGTTTGCCTCGTTATGAGTTCCGTCTCGTACCTTGCCTCCTCTTTGCTGACTTCTTTTTGGCCAATGATGACGTCAGCGGTGCTGATTTTGTTCAGTGACGGGGTCTTGTCCTGCCAGATGGATGTTCTCGTCAAGCAGGTTCTTGGTGTCGAGCTATTGGCGGGTGCTTTTGGCTGGATCGGGCTAAAGGTGACGCTATTATTAGTCGCTTTGGGATTTCTGCCTGGTACGTATAAGCCTAATAAATGAGTGTCGTTTCCTTACGCCACTTTCTTCACTGCATGGAGTAGTCTAGTATGTAGTTTCAACATACAAGTAATAATTATTAGGAAGCACTTTAATTCATGGTGTTACTTGTGTGGCATCACTGGCAATGTGCATCACACCATACAATAGCGTAAAAGATCAACAATGTCAAACCATTCTTCGAGACTTCCCGATTTCAATTTTACCTTCTTTCTGTTTTAAGGTTTGGTTTACGACTTGACCGGAAGTTACACAGCAGCCTTTCTACTGATAGGCAGCGTGCAGGCTGTACCACTGGTGCCTTTGCTGATACTAAGATATTCTCAATAGTAGAACCTTGGAGAGTTTTTTCCATTGGAGGATTTCATAATTGACTGTGAGTCGATCGGAGTTGAAACAGAAGCATAAGGACATAATGTACATTGAACAAGTGTGTTTTGATCAATTAAAGATTAGTTGCACGCAATCCTGGCTTTATGCCTTTTCCTGGCTTTATGCCTTTTCCTGGCTTTATGCCTTTTGGTCTGTGTCTGGTGTTGTTGCGATTTCTATGGGTGTGGCAATCTTGCCATACCTCGTGTGAACAACATTCATCCGAGTATGATAATGCAGCATGGCAGTGGCGCACCCAGGATATGGCTTGGGGGGGGGGGCCTCCCATTTTTTTTTTCAAATTTTTTAGAGGTAAAATTGTTGTCAAAAAATTTTGCCCACAATTTTTGGCCGCAGAAAAAAATTGGGGTTTTGTTTTTGGGGCGGACTATTTTGACGTTGGTGGCGCCACTTACACCCCTATTATACTACTCGAAAATAGGCCACATTATCACCAAGGTCCAATCGTGGCAAACCTCGTCCCCGGGGTGTCGAGCAGTACGCGCCCACCACTACCTGCTCTCTCACCCTGGTATTGGATCATTTGCATGTGCAAGTTTTTTGAACACGTATGCAAATTAGGAATAGTCTGGCGCCTACTGGGGGGGGGGGGACGGGGTCCTCACTCTTTCCAAAGCCATCACCCCAAAATTGGACACTGTTTTTTCAAAATGCTGTATGCACAAAATTCATTCAAATGAAGATCCACAATTACGAGGGAAACATCTGCAGCCAGACGCCTAGCCATCTGTCACATTCACAGCCTTTCAATCATACTAAATATCTATTTGGTTATTAGTTTTAATTTGCTCGATGTAGACCTACATGCATCAACATCACGGGGAGGGGGGAAATAACTAGAGGTTCGCGTTTGTTGTTACAAACGCAGAGTGGTCGGGTAGACAATTTTTTTATGAAACACTGTCCAGTTAACGGGAACATGTAATAGGATTTATATGACTTAAATACATTTAAAACAGCTTTCTTGCCATGTAACTATGAAGTTTCCACCTCCTCGGAAGCAGTAAAAAAGAGAAATTTCAACATTTTAAGTTTCAAAGTTTTTATGCTAATGAAAATTTCCATATTCATGAGCCAAAGCGTGATGTCATTCAAGGTAGAACCGTCTCCATAGCTTTGTGTATACAAATATATATCAAAGTTTTCTTCATTTTCTTGGAGTAAATTCCGCTCTTTATTATTTATCATGTAAAACAGCTTATTTGGACAATCGTAGTGGCAAATATTTCTTCAAAAAATAATGTTGTGGGTAATTTTGAAGGACTTATTTTTGTACTGTTCATAACGCACCTTTGGCAAGGAGTACCTTGTTTGACAAAAGCAAAATAGCGCCCTCTTATATATTGATGAAAGGATTTACTAATAATTTAAAAAATACCACTTTCTTGTCACTTCCAAAGAAAACAAGTATTAAGATCTTGTATGTATTGTTGCAACACATAGTAATGTGCATGAAAACAAGATGAGCTGAATTTCCACTGCATGTTTCCTTTAAGTTATGAACTCTCTCACCCTGGTATTGGATCATTTGCATGTGCAAGATTTTTGAACACGTATGCAAATGAGGAATAGTCTGGCGCCTACACGTGCGTTACATTAGCGTTTGTTTTTGTATGCGGTGTCTGGGGTAAAAACAACATCAATTCGTCGCGCTGTAAGTCATGAAAACACATTTTTTTTTAAAGTTAAAATGTTACGATCTGGCCCGCCAATTTGCAGTATTACATTTCAGGTTAATAAAAGCAAACTTGAAAGGAAAGGAGTATTTTTGAGAAGGCGTGGATGTTTTAATTACAATGATCGTGAAAACACGTAATGCACGTTGGATATAACAACACCAACTACACGGTAAAAATCCATTACTAGCAAAATGCGGTATCGAATCAGGATACAGGGAGAAAGTTTCCTATCCAGGGCTTACTATTGGAAACAAGGTTGGAAATAAAGTAAGCAATGGGGACGAAGTTGAATAGTGGGACTAAAAGAAAAAAATTATAAATAGCAAAAAATTAAAAATTGACAACCTTTTTGGCACTTGAAAGAATACACCGAAAACAATATCGTCAAAAGTCGTGATTAATCCTAAGCCTTCTTAGGAAATATTGTCCCCCTCCAACCTTCAAGGACTGGAATGCATTATCATCACTTGCAATCTCATCCTCATCATTGAATGTATTGTATTTTTAATCTGGCCTTAGCAAGTACAAGTACTAACTTAAACAGTAGGCCCTATATAATTTCGTCTAGAAGATCCTATTGCTGCCAAGCGCATCGCAAGTTTGCGCTACGGTGCAGGCGACGTTTGTCTGCCCATAACAAATCATTCATCTATATATCCCGGTGGTAGATCATCATCGATAGATTACTAGGATGTTGAGTGTCTCCGTACTTTTGCCTGTATTTGTCTTGAAAAAAGTGTATGAAACAAGCCGTTGCTGATTTGAAGATAATACATGTTTGCGAAATAGCCCGAATGCCTATCGGTCGCGTATAAAACTTTGAGGCATCTTGATCTTCACTTTCTCTTAATTCTCGTAACCTTTTAAAAAGCCTCCCTTTCGGACTCGAACTCGAGGGATTTCTTGGGGGGGCCCTCACTCTTTCCGAAGCCATCGCCCCAAAATGGGGCACTGTTTTTTTGAAAATCCTGTATGCACAAAATTCATTCAAACGAAAATCCACAAATACGAGGGAAACATCTGCAGCCAGACGCCTAGCCATCTATCACCTTCACAGCCTTTAAATCATACTAATTATCTATTTGGTTATTGGTTTTAATTAGCTCGATGTAGACCTACATGCATCAACATCACGAGGGGAAAAATAATCACCATTTTTCGTAGTCTGGTTCCCAGACCAAAAGATTCTGACTATTCCTGATGAATCTTAGGTCAGGCAGCCTCCGTGGCTAAAAATAAACATGACGACATTGACAACCTTTTTCGAAGCTCGGCTTCGTTTCCGATTGCGCTTTATCACTTAAAGCTTTTAATGTTCCGTCCGATCAAATTTTTTGAAATAAATCACTTGCTTCATATATCATACAGTTATGATATACAGTTTTATAATTCTGTAAAAAAACATTCACTAATTTTCACCTGGAATCTTCCAAGTTAGACACCCAAATAGCACTGTTCGCAGGCGGAGCCGAATTGAGACCACGCCGAGTTTTGGAAAATGCCAGTAACGGTCGTCAAATTCAAACTAGTACATGACGCAACAAAAAGTTCGCCCTCGTATACGATCCGAGTACAAAATCGTTGTTGAATTTCAAGTTTTCTAATTGAAAGCAATGGATATTAATTATGAACTAGTTTTTTAAGTTTTTAATAAGCAATTAGCAGTTAATAAAACCTATATTATGCTCGGAAATGCTCGGGCACTATCCGATTGTCGACGAAATGAATTCGGCAAACTTCGGACATTTTCGGAAAAAGAGGAATTCCTCCCGTTTTAGTCACGTGACATAAATTGTATTACAATGTATTACCGGAGGCTACCGGACCTAAGATTCATTGGAAATAACAACACCAACTACACGGTAAAAATCCATTACTAGCAAATTGCGGTATCGAATCAGGATACAGGTAGAAAGTTTCCTATCCAGGGCTTACTATTGGAAACGAGGTTGGAAATAAAGTAAGCACTGGGGACGAGGTTGAATAGTGGGACTAAAAGAAAAAAATACAAATAGAAAAAAATTAAACTTACTTACTTTTTTTATCTTAACTATTCCTGCTCCACCTGTTCATATTGTCAATGAATTAAATTCTCTGTTTTTTTAATTTATTTGGGGCGGTAATGACAGGGTTTTTAGTAGAAATCAAATGGTTCAAGATTATAGCGAAGGTGGGCTGCGTATGATAGACGTTAGGGATTATATGTATGCATTGAAAATTACTTGGCTACGCAAACTCCTGGCTGCTGACCAGAATTGTGGTTGGGGTTTTTTTACGCCGTAAGATTATGGGAGTCTCTTCTATGCTCTCTTTCGAAGGAGGTTCTTTGCAATATACAAACAAAGAAACCTTGGAAAAGCACCCCTTTTGGATGGATGTCCTTACATCGTGGTCTAAATTTACCCAAGCTCACATTCCGGTGACTGCTGAAGATGTTCTATTGAATACGCTGTGGCATAATGATCAAATCGAGGTGTGCAAAAAATGCATTTATTACAAGCATTGGGAGTCTGCAGGAGTCAATTACATTTTTGATCTTGTTGACGACAAAGGTACATTTCTGTCATTTAATGATTTTAGAAGGAAGTTTAAGATGCGAACTAATTTCCTGGAATATGGAGGTGTAGTTAGAGCTATCAAGCTAGCCTTTCCGGAACTGTTGGATTTAGAAACACGCACAGTTAAATTCCCTTTTATTCCATTTAATTTCAAGATTCTTTTGATGGACAAAAAAGGTTCTCGTAGAATTCTCAAAGTGCTGGCCTCAACCAGGAAAGTAGTTCATAAATTTATTTCCAAATGGAACAATAAGTTACAAACAGACTTTAGCTTTTTATTTCTAAATGGTCGTTGATTTTGAATATTCCTTTCAATTGCACTGTAGATACTAGGCTGAGATGGTTCCAATACAGACTAATTCATATAATTCTCGGTACGAAACACTTTCTGTTTAAAATCAATAAGTCCACGACGAACCAATGTACATTTTGTAAAAATGAAGATGAAACTCTTACCCATCTCTTTTGCTCATGTGTTTACACAGTCTCATTTTGGGGTTCAGTGGTTTTGTGGATCAAGGACAAAACCAAATTTACCATTACCCTAGATAATGAAATGTGTTTGTTTGGCAAAGCTGACTTTGAGTGCAAAGTTTAACTTAATTTTATTAATTTGCCGTTTCCATATTTATAAAATGAAAATGATTGAGAAAGTGCCCTCTTTCCTGGTTCTAAAAAAGGATGTGAAGAACTACTACTCCGTGGAAAAATATATGTTTATTTGTAATGATAATGTTGAGAAATTTTACTGTAAATGGGATTCCTTTTCTGCACTTTTCCAAGAGTAATTGTTTGAATTGCCATGTTTTGGGTTTGTATGAACTCCTATTTAAATGTGCTTATGTTTAAATATGATTTGTTATTGTTGAAAATAAAGAGTTATCCCCCGGGAAAAAAAACACGTGAAAGAATACACCGAAAACAATATCGTCAAAAGTCGTAATTAATCCTAATCCTTCTTAGGAAATATTGTCCCCCTCCAACCTTCAAGGACTGGAATGCATTATCATTACTTGCAATCCCATCCTTATCATTGAATGTATTGTATTTTTAATCTGGCCTTAGCAAGGACAATACTAACTTAAACAGTAGGCCCTATATAATGTCGTCTAAAAGATCCTATTGCTGCCAAGCGCATCGCACGTTTGCGCTACGGTGCAGGCGACGTTTGTCTGCCATATATGAAAATACACCATGCCCATAACAAATCATTCGTCTATATATCCCGGTGGTAGATCATCATCGATAGATTACTAGGATGTTGAGTGTTTCCGTACTTTTGCCTGTATTTGTCTTGAAAAAAAAGTGTATGAAACAAGCCGTTGCTGATTTGAAGATAATACATGTTTGCGAAATAGCCCGAATGCCTATCGGTCGCGTATAGAACTTTGAGGCATCTTGATCTTCACTTTCTCTTAATTTTCGTAACCTTTTAAAAAGCCTCCCTTTCGGACTCCTCACTCTTTCCGAAGCCATCGCCCCAAAATAGGGCACTGTTTTTTTGAAAATCCTGTATGCACAAAATTCATTCAAACGAAGATCCACAATTACGAGGGAAACATCTGCAGCCAGACGCCTAGCCATCTGTCACCTTCACATCCTTTAAATCATACTAATTATCTATTTGGTTATTAGTTTTAATTAGCTCGATGTAGACCTACATGCATCAACATCACGGGGGGAAAATAATCACCATTACTTGCTTAGCCCGCCCCTTATGGACCCCAAGTCAAATGAGGGCGCACTATACCGTGCTTCGACAGAGTTGACCGCTGCATTTAATTTCGTAATTATCCCAATAAATGTCTTAAGATAGTTGTCACAAAGTGATACTTGGTTTTTAATCGAAATGACTCTTTAAACTGACAAAACACTAATTTATTTTTAGGGGTCTACAATTTCTGAGTTCGGTTAAACGGAAGTGGTTTAGAGAAACACAATTTATTTTCCTCGGGACCGCCACACCCAACTACATGTATTTCTAGAATTAGTTATTCAACCATCAAAGAATGGGGCAGTCAACTCCAGTAGAGTTGTCATTGGTAAGTGTATTGGTACTTTGCATAAATTTAAGTGTTGAATATTCATTTAGCCAAGTGAATGCATTTATTGAATTCTTGGGCCTTAGTATGTAGCATTGCTGAAATGTTTTTCTCCGGGTTTATAAGCAAAACGAGTTTGGAATGGGGCAGATTTTGAGATGAGATTCCGAGGAGAGGGCAGAGACCAGCCTCGATGATTTTGAGAAATAATTTGTGAGAAATTTTTGATATGGAGAAGCCAAAGGAGAGGGCTCAGCCAGCCTACGGCATTAGTATATTTTAAGCTTGAGCTAGTAAGAGCCAAGCCGCTGAAACCTTGGACAAGCTAGGAATCACCCACATTCCTGTAAGTTTATTGCATTATTTGTTTATTTTACAAACCTTTAAATGGATATTTGGCACATTTGTATGTAGAAAGAAGAAGAATTTGATATACTTTGCTGAGATTTAACAATCAAATATTTGTGCTGTTCATATCAGTAAACTTAAAGGAAAATGTAATTATCGATGAAAAAAGATTGTGTGGATCTGCAAAGAAAATATTCCTGCGATTAGTGCTGATTTATAACAGTTGTGGTTATTGAGACATTGGGAAATGTTATCATTGTAAACTATTTGTTGGCTAGAATCCACCTAGTAGGAGTATAATTTGGATTGTAATTTCAGAGCTTTTGGGGGTTGAGAATAGTGCAACCTTTGACCAGAGGACCAGAAGCGACAGGGCAGGACCGCAGCGGCGGACAAGTTACGGACCATCACAGGCGCTACTGATCATACCCCAAGATCCCAAGATCAAGATACACCGGGACGGACGCATCGAGTATTAATGATTGTATAAATTGTCGATAATTATTTTGGGGATTTTGAAGAAGAGACCAAACCTTTGCGTTGAAACGTTGAAATATAAATAAATTGTACATAATATAAATATAAGGAAAAGTGCGTCACACCCTTATTTTATTTCTGAATGCCATTGGTCAGTTAAATTATCAGGGGACTACTGAAGGTCCTGCGAAAGGAGCAGTGGAGAGGAAAATATTTTGAGAGTTGATCAAAGGATGGAACATCATCAACAAAACATCGAGAGGCAAAAAAACAAAAACAAACAAACAAACAAACAGGTATAGGACACAGTGAAAATTCTGTTTGGCTATGTACGTTTTGGGCACACTAATAAAGTCTGTAGTACATTGGAAAGTGCTATAATCAAATTGTCATCATATTAAATTAAGTTGTGACCAAACTCTATTGATTCAGCAACATTATAAAAGAATATTGAATCACCGATGAAGTAATAATGATCGTACGAAGCCCGGAAAGGGACAGGGTGGAAATGTTTTTTGTAATTTGCAAATTCGTTCCCACGAGTTGCTAACTCGTTCCCACGAATTACTATTTCGTTCGCACGAATTACTAATTCGTTCCCACGAATTGCTAATTCGTTCGCATGAATTGCTAAATCGTTCGCACGAGTTGCTATCTCGTTCCCACGATTTTCAAATTCGTGGGAACGAATTGATGACTCGTGGATCCGGAAACGCATAGTAATTCGTGGGAACGAGTTGGTAATTCGTGGGAACGAATTAGCAATTCGTGCAAACGAATTAGCAATTCGTGCGAACGAATTAGCAATTCGTGCGAACGAATTAGCAATTCGTGCGAACGAATTAGCAATTCGTGCGAACGAATTAGCAATTCGTGCGAACGAATTAGCAATTCGTGCGAACGAATTAGCAATTCGTGCGAACGAATTAGCAATTCGTGCGAACGAATTAGCAAATAATAATAACCAATTTAGTCATTTACCATTCAATCGAATTCGTCTCATGTAAATCAATTAGCCTAATTTGATTTCTGAATTACAAGGTTTGACGCAGACGAGACGAAATCAAATACTCCGGGACGAAAACGAGTGCAATGTTTTTTTTTTGTCCAATTTTTGTGAAATTTCATGTTGAAATTTTGATACGCAAACGTGTGCAAATGAATCTGGAAATTTCACAAAAAATAGACATCTGAAAAAGGCAGCACTTTCTGATTAGCCTATAAAGAGGGTGAGTGTGCTTGTAAAGCAAAAAAAAGTACAAACTAAGCCTAAATGTGAAAATCAAAATTTGACACGTTTTTGTACATGTGGAAGTGTGGCCTATGTTTACGGAGGTAGTCCAGTAAATTGGCCACATTTATGGGGCTAGGCCTAGGCCTACTGAGCGCTAGTTGCAGGCCTATTCAGTGACATGTGTATCAATACATGCAGCCTCAATAGCGAATATCAGGAAATACTAACCACCTATTGTCGAATTACATTGAAATATCTTGGAAACCTCTGGTCAAAAACATGCCGGAGTCACGTCACGGCCGGATGCACACACAAACAACTCTCACTGTAAGAGCCAGAGTACGGAAGCTTGAATTGCCTTCCGCGATACCGCGTTACCGTGATAATTTATCGCAGAAATCCGGAATTCAAAGAAAATCCATTCCTCGATACCGCGTTACCGTGATAATTTATCACAGAAATCCGGAATTCAAAGATAATTCCTTCCTCGATACCGCGTTACCGTGATAATTTATCACAGAAATCCGGAATTCAGAGATACCTTTTCCTCGATACCGCGTTACCGTGATAATTTATCACAGAAATCCGGAATTCAAAGATAATTCCTTCCTCGATACCGCGTTACGGTGATAATTTATCACAGAAATCCGGAATTCAGAGATACCTTTTCCTCGATACCGCGTTACCGTGATAATTTATCACAGAAATCCGGAATTCAAAGATAATTCCTTCCGCGGTATCGAGGAAGAATTTATCTCTTCATCTATACTTTCACTGGTATCGTATCTTTTGATGCACGAACTTTAACCAGCAGCCGAAAAATGTGGCAATTCATGGCTTTCCCTAAGATTTCAGGCAAAAAATGAAAATCCTTTGGATGTAGTCCAAGTTATTTTTTAATTAGAAAGCCCAACAGACGTGCTGGTTGCCGTTCGCCGCAACGGCATCATGTACATGTAAATGTATCAGTGACCCTAGAAAAGTTAACCAATCACAATATCACGCACTCTCCTTGACATGGATATTTATCACACAGTGTCGAAGACACATTTATTTTCCCTTACACATATTTCCCTTATATTAACAATTATCCCAACGATTAAATTGGAGAACACCGTACTAGTTGATGAAAAATGGGCATATAGGTGGATTTCGAACCAGAAATCTTGCGATCCATAGTTCACATCATCTCAGTATCCACGAGGCTCTGGAAGCTCAACGAGCCGTTCTTTGTATAATATGTAACTACAATGTAATTGACTATAAGTATAGGCTTTCCCGGCTATTTTAAAATAGCTTTTATTCAAATTCACAAACTCTAACAATCAATTTCGCCCGAGAAAAATTTCACACGCTTTTAACAAAACCAAAAGTCATTTACCATTCAATTTCAAAGTTTGGTCACCCTCCTTGAGTCGCCGGGTCGAAAATATTCGTCATTACAGATCAAATTCATCTGAGCTGTTGCCGAATGTGCAGCATTTACAGATCGAATTCGTCTTAAATCAATTTGACGAATTTGATTTCTGAATAACAAGGTTTGGCGTAGACGAGACGAAAATGAATACTCCGGGACGAAAACGTGTGCTCAATATTGTTTGAATTTGCTTGAACTGAATTTAAAATTGTCTGGCAAAAGACAAAATTCAACATTGGAAGTGCACTAAATCGATGTTGGTGGATAAATTTGACTATTAGAAACGGTGAATTCGAATGATAAACGTTTTAAAGTAGCCGGGAAAACCTATAATAACAATATTGTGACGTCATTGTTGCTTTCTCATGAATAAACATAACTATCCCATAGAAATTACTGAATAATCATGACCCCTTCGGTAGATATCGTCAATGGTCAGTAGTTTGGATGGGGAGGTTATGTTTATTCAAGAGAAAAGAACAACGACGGCACACCCTGATGTTAGTCAACTATCTTAAGACATTTACTGGGATAATTACGAAATTAAATGCAGCGGTCAACTCTGTCGATCTCGAAGCGCGGTATAGTGCGCCCTCATTTGACTTGGGGTCACTCATGAACATAAGGGGCGGGCTTAGCAAGTAATGGTGATTATTTTTTTCCCCCGTGATGTTGATGCATGTAGGTCTACATCGAGCTAATTAAAACTAATAACCAAATAGATAATTAGTATGATTTAAAGGCTGTGAAGGTGACAGATGGCTAGGCGTCTGGCTGCAGATGTTTCCCTCGTAATTGTGGATCTTCGTTTGAATGAATTTTGTGCACACAGGATTTTCAAAAAAACAGTGCCCCAATTTGGGGCGATGGCTTCAGAAAGAGTGAGGGCCCCGTCTCCCTCCCCCCCCCCCCAAGAAATCCCTCTAGTCCGAAAGGGCGGCTTTTTAAAAGGTCACGAAAATTAAGAGAAAGTGAAGATCAAGATGCCTCAAAGTTTTATATGCGACCGATAGGCATTCGGGCTATTTCGCAAACATGTATTATCTTCAAATCAGCAACGGCTTGTTTCATACACTTTTTTTCAAAACAAATACAGGCAAAAGTACGGAAACACTCAACATCCTAGTAATCTATCGATGATGATCTACCACCGGGATATATAGATGAATGATTTGTTATGGGTATGGTGTATTTTCATATATGGTTGCATCGGCAGACAAAGGCGTCGCCTGCACCGTCGCGCAAACGTGCGATGCGCTTGGCAGCAATAGGATCTTCTAGACGAAATTATATAGCGCCTACTGTTTAAGTTAGTACTGTACTTGCTAAGGCCAGATTGAAAATACAATACATTCAATGATGAGGATGAGATTGCAAGTGATGATAATGCATTCCAGTCCTTGAAGGTTGGAGGGGGAGTCCTTGAAGGTTGGAGTGTCGCACCCAAGGGGCGGGGGGGGGGGGCTCGGGGGGATTGAGCCCCCCCCCCCAAAAAAAAGGTTGTCAATTTTTAATTTTTTTCTATTTGTATTATTTTTTTTTTAGTCCCACTATTCAACCTCGTCCCCAGCGCTTACTTTATTTCCAACCTCGTTTCCAATAGTAAGCCCTGGATAGGAAACCTTCTCCCTGTATCCTGATTCGATACCGCAATTTGCTAGTAATGGATTTTTACCGTGTAGTTGGTGTTGTTATTTCCATGTGCATTACGTTTTTTCACGACCATTGTTATTAAGACATCCACGCCTTCTCAAAAATACTCCTTTCCTTTCAAGTTTGCTTTTATTAACCTGAAATGTAATACTGCAAATTGACAGGCCAGATGGTAACATTTTAACTTTAAAAGGAAAATGTGTTTTCATGACTTACGGTGCGACGAATTGATGTTGTTTTAAACCCCAGACACCGCATACAAAAACAAACGCTAATGTAACGCACGTGTAGGCGCCAGACTATTCCTCATTTGCATTCATTTGCATACGTGTTCAAAAATCTTGCACATGCAAATGATCCAATACCAGGGTGAGAGAGCAGGTATTCTTACATCAAAATATTCATAACTTAAAGGAAACATGCAGTGGAAATTTAGCTCATCTTGTTTTCATGCACATTACTATGTGTTGCAACACTACACACAAGATCTTAATACTTGTTTTCATTGGAAGTGACAAGAAAGTGGTAGTTTTTAAATTATTAGTAAATCCTTTCATCAATATATAAGAGGGCGCTATTTTGCTTTTGTCACAAAAGGTACTCCTTGCCAAAGGTGCGTTATGAACAGTACAAGAATTAGTCCTTCAAAATTACGCACAAAAAAATTTTTGAAGAAATATTTGCCACTTCGATTGTCCAAATAAGCTGTTTTACATGATAAACAATAAAAAGTGGAATTTACTCCAAGAAAATGAAGAAAACTTTGATATATATTTGTATACACAAAGCTATGGAGACACTACG